CCCCCCCCCCCCCCCCCTCCCCCAAAAAGCTCCCTCTCCCTCCATCTAGTTCGTTGCGCCACCCGATCGCCGTAGCCAGACATCCGGACGGGAAAAAAACTGCACCATATGAAGTCGAATGGTAATGTTTTGGACTATGTCAATGTACCACTGATCTGTAATCAAATCGCTAGGAGCGCACTTCGTCAAATCGTCATAAGCTCTAAAACGTATTTCAATTCTCCATATCTGATTTACTCAGAGATCTCAAATTATCCGGCTCAAGAGCAGAGATGGATGTACGGTTTTTCATGAGGTCTTTCTTGATGTGAAGATTTAAGGAAAGCTGTGTAAAGAGAGGAAACTAAAGATGTGGTGCGAAATGGCTAAGCTAGAAACGCTAATGACGAAAGAGTTGCAGTATACATAATCTTGGGATCCTTCGTAGTAGTAACTAAGTCGTGGTGAAGCCATCTTCGAAATAAGAGGTAGTTGAAATAGGGCAACCATAAGCGTTTGTTAACGAAGTCTTTACTGCCGGTGTTGCTCAGCAGCCAAATTTCCAGGGTATCAATAGCAGCCGTTTGGTAACGAAGTCTTTACTGCCGGTGTTGCTCAGCAGCCAAAATTTTTGGCGTATCAATAGCAGCGTTGGCATGCTGAACTTGCTGTGCAATGTTGTCGTGAATGCGGCCAACAGTTGCGCATGCGTATAGTGTACATATTGAATTGAACGTACATATCGTCTAGTGTGTTTTTCGAGGCCATAACTCACCTGCTTTTCGGCGCTCCCCGGGCAGCACCCCTCGGCAGCCCTGTAATTTTAAAACGTAGTTTTTGCCCGGCGTAGTATCGTCCACCACTCATCGTCGTGCTAACAACTCTCAGTCGTCTACTCTGAATGACGAATTAGCGTTGCAAGCAATAACTCGACTACGAGCGCTCTATGAACTACGCATAATCCCTATATCTACGACTACGAACGAAATGTGTCTTTTCTGTGTTGCTGGCCGCTTCTGCGAATTCATTCTTGAAGGAGTGAATTTTCGCAAATTTTTAATCGCTAGTGTCGATGATCAAGGTGAGAAAGAATTTCGGCTGGTCCACTGTCCACTTCCGCTTCAACCATTTTCACTTTGAGTTCAGTTTTTCGATGTCATGGTACAGTACAATGACTCGACTTAAACTGGTTCCTATGAGAAAATCTTGCTGTTTGAGCTAATGAGAATTGCCAAAAAACTTTCACGTTTACTGCTTAAGGTCCAGTCTTCCCAGTTTTTCACGACTAGCAATCTTGAAAGAGTGAACAATAGACGCTCATAGTACTGCCTAATAACATGTAAAGATTAATGAAGAGTCGTTCTTAGGCTACGCTTTTTACACTGTCATGAGTCATGTTCTGTGATTGCAACAGTCTACAGCTGCTCGGGACAGATTCATTAAACTAAACACTAATTAATGGTTACAAGAAAAATAGATTTCATAGCTATTTTAATTCTACCAGCTGAAAATAAGCATTGTAGTACGTCTGCGGCGGCGAGACGTTTCGAAGAACGATGCAGTTGAGGCTGGATTTGAACCGTCGACTGCTGTTCCACGATGCCATTCGACACATTCACTCGCTTATGCGAATTCACAGTTCCAGGTGACATTTAACGATCAAGTAACTTCCTAGAAAACGTGATTTACTTGTTTTTTCATTGCCTCTTCGTTGGTAGTGTTACGATGAGATCGATCGGGACTTTCTAGATCCAAAGAGGATAGGAGGGAATTTAAGATCCAAAGAGGATAAGAAGGAACTTAAGGTTTTGGGGTTTTTTATGCAGTAGAGAACGTGGTGGAAAGGGGAACAGTCTTGAAATAGGAAGGTAACAACAATTGTCAATACAGATTCTGCCTTCACATTTTCTTTTTCAAATGGTTTTCAACTAAATCGTTTTTGGTGCTAAACGCGAATTCATTTCGAATCAAGTGGGTAGCGAGGAAAGTACGAAGCGATGCATCGTAAAAGAAAGGAATTCCCCTTCTCTTGAACATGGGGGCTAACTAGTTTGGCATTTGCATGAACTGATGCCATCATGAAAATGTCATACCCCATTGTACAAGTGTGGCGTAGTGTGAAACTATCTATTAGCACTTCCTTACTACCTTTTCGTCAACAACAAATCAATCTGTTCCATTCTAATTTCCAAGCAGCGAATTCCTCTAGTATCAAGTGTTCAGTTTGTTGAAAATATTGAAAAAAATATTGGAAGAATTTGTTAATTGTAAGTTCTACTCAAGAAAATTTTACATCATAAATTTTAGGCGAGTGATTTGAACCTGTCTCATGGCCATAGTAGACGAGGTGGCCGAGAATTCGATGCCCCGCCGACTGCTGTCGTAGGGCCGCGTCAATGCATTCGATCAAGCCATGTCTCGGCTGATGACCGTGGAGAGCACCATCATACTCAATACGATAACGAACGCTACAGGCGAAGTTTGCAGCAACTCAACGGTAAGTGTAGGACTTTCTTACGATTCTCCCTTTCCATTTTTCACACTTTTGACTTCGGTGAGAACATATAGTCTAACAGTGGGTGCTGAAGGTGCTATCTGAGCTCAGCGGACCTCGTTCAGTACGACTTTCCAGTCCTTTAAACGTCTTTTGATGTCAGGAGGTGTCTGTCAATTCTTGTCTGAAGTTCGTCTCTGACATTACTACGGCAGTGATATTTCTTCTAGCGTCTTTGTTGTGAATCATTGAGAACAACTGTTATATTCTTCAGCCTAGCCATCAAAATAATCGTTGTTGTTCGGAATCGAAGCTTAAACTCGGAACTTCAGGATTTTCTAGCAGCAGTATGTATAGTAATGTGGGATGTTGAAATACGATAGCGAATACTGCCCAATCCTAATCACCCACGGTTACTAATAGTCAAACTCGTTGGGCGACCCGCGGTGAAATGAAATTCTCAGTGATCTGTAAGTGTGGCTGAGCTTCCACATCTCGCTCTTTAACCAAGATTATTGGTGCGCTTAAGCTCCCACGCATAATGCATGGAAATACTATCAACCCTGTGGGCGGAGAGCCTTGATGCGTGCTATACCTGGCGTCTTTTTTAGTTGATATCCGCCAGGGAGCGGCTCCCATCAAGATCTTTATTGACCATACTTAATGGTATCTCAGCGCATCAATGACAGATCCTTTCAAAAAGGCAAGCATCTTGTCGACTCACCAGTAGTAAGGAAAAATACCTTCTTCTGCCGCTGTCGCTTCGCAGTAATAAAGATGCAATTGTCTACTACGACCAACTTCCTGTTCCTAAAATACTATTCTGTCATAAAGATTGCGATAACAGAAAGGAGAGCAATACACATAACGGTATTTGTCACCCAAAGCTTAAACGTCAATCTCATGTTACCGGGTGTGGTAACTTCCCCCTAACCTCCAAGAATCGCCCGCGCTTTCCGCAACCCATCGCGCACATTCGCTCGCTATGAAGGTGTAGGTTCGAATTTCCAGTGGAAGAGTACGGTAGCCGCCGCAGAACCGTTTGCCGTGGGAATTTGGGGAGAAGCACAGCCGCGCCCAAATTACCATTAGAGGGGTTACTTACCCATATGTTTTACCCTGTCCACGTAGGCGATTTATCAGTGCAAGCAGCTCATTCTGCACGAATCTTTCTTTTTTGAAGTACTCGGTCCTGCTTCGCATGTCTAAGAATGAATGCGCAAAATCGTGAATTTCTTAATTTTGGTTTCATTCCTCAGTGACTAGTTCTTTTACTTCATCTTCCTTATTAGGTGCGGATAGACATACTTTTTGTAGCTGTTCTTGAAAAAAAAAGTAGCAAAGAACGAAGCCTCGTACTCTGTGAGCGCTCTAGAACATAAAATGGAATATAACATGGAGAAATAAAGTTACTTGCGACGTCTGAGACTAGAGGATACTTACTACTGGTTTTTCATGTGAGTGAATGACAATGAGCCGGAAGGAACGACATAACTGTTATCGTCCAGTCAGGGACATGAAAACTTTTCAATTCCATCCAAGCTTGAACGAAAACAAGTTCAAAGTGGTCTACAGAGAGGAGAAACGATTTCAAGAGAAATATGACATCACGTCAAAGAATGGAATTTCATGGGAAATGCTTCCAACCCGAGAAAAACGATTGTTACGACTCACTGTTCAAGTCAAGTTATGGAGACTACTATAAAATTGAAAATAAGGCGTCGTGCACAGCAACAGCAACAGTTATTGCGG